TTTCAGAAACCATTTGCTCACGTCAGCAGCGTACACCCATGGGCAAATGGGGGACGCTAAGTTGATCAATCAGAGCGTGTGCTTTACTTTGGTTATGTTATAATAAGAATTAGCTGATCGATCCCAAGCAAGGTTTGTTTATATTATAATCGGCCTCTCAACCTCTATCACATGCACTATCGGCCAGCCAAAGACCAGCACACAGTAAACATGAGTAAAACCAGACAAGGTAAATCCTGAGACTCTTTTTCTATTGCAGTGTCGGTGTGTTGATAATATTTCTTGTAGTGATGTGGTGTTTGTTCTCTTCCGTTCGCAGCATTGCATTATTTTGAACCCTCCACGTCCCACTAAATAAACCAAACCCTAATCAACTAAAATAATCCAAAAGGCCAAGTCCAGTAAAAAGGAAAATACAAAAAGGCCTACTGAGAACTTAAAGAAAGTGCAGTAAACCATGACTGACCTAATTACAAGTTATAATAGTTTTGCCAGCACTTGATTGGTTGAGACTGGTAAATTAGATACATTTGCATCCTTCTTATATAAACACAGTGAAAAGAAAATGGAAAAAGCATATTCCTAGCCAAGTATTAGGCTAGTGAGTGCGCACTGATTGAAAAAAGGGCTGTACATGCTGTGAGTAACAAAAACAAAAGGTACTTATTACACGGAATAAAATAGTAACATATCGTGGTGTATCTTATCTACACCTCCCAAAAGTTGTTGCAAAATCAGGTGGCTCAAGTTTCAACAGGCTCTCAAATACTTGACACCAGTTCAGTACTTAGCAACAGCAAAACACACACAAGTCTCACTTTTGAAATTTTTCAAGCGAGAGGTTTTAACTTGTATTCTCTTACAGACTTAAAGACTTCTTTAAATTCCTAGATCTTTTCTTTTTCTCTTTACAATGAACGGTCTCATAAGTGATGAAGGTTAGGTTGTGTCCCGGGCCAGGTAATTACATTCGCCTTAATATTCTGATTAAGATTTTCTTTTTTCGCTTTTTCATGAGAAAATTCGATGCACTAGTGCGCACATTTACACGTATTTTCATGGTGAATTTAAAATGCAACATCAACACCAACAACAACTGCAAATGTAACCGTATTCTTGCCAACTCCTTCCAGACTTTTCAAATACCTTCTCTGTTGCCTAAGAAAACTCTTTTTAAATGCGACTTCAATCATACATGTTTACCGCCTGCAACCACAGCTCCAACAGTGTTTTCCGTCGCAAATCAAGCGCACGTGCTCAAAGTGTTTATTACTGAATTTGAATTTCCCGCATATTAATCAGAAAATATTAATCACAGTATTCTGGCCGGGCCACGAGGGCACCTTGAAAGTAAAAATAATTGGGGAAAGACGTTTCTTGAATTAAAAGAGTTTGTATAGCAGTTTTTGAGGTTTAATTTTTACCTGGCTGAATGTCCTAATGCTCTCCATCCTGTCTCCATTCGCATTCTGCAGCAGCTGTTATCATTTTTCCATCCAAAAACTACCACACAACTACTAACTTGTACTAAAGGGCAAGTGATGCTTGAGGCCCAGTTTTCAGTCCCAGTTTAAGGTCAAAACGAGTAGATTGGTTCATTGTTTCCTCTCATATTTAAAGTTCCGTCGTCTACGTAAGTACTTCCACAACGCANTCGGAGCAGGTCCAAACAGAAACCATGAAGAACGCTCGGCGCCTTAAAAAAGTTACTGTGATAAACACATTTCCGACTATATACATCAGACAATGGAAAGCTTCTTTGAAACAAATTACTTGACATTTGATTAGTCTGACTAAATTATTACTTTCGAAGAAAAATAACTTAAAATTCGATCAACTTAACTAACCAATGACGGCTTCTAAAAAGTAAATTATCTGTTCCCAATATTCGATCGACTACATAATTTAACACTTTCGAAATAGGGGGCTTTTAAAATTTGATAATTGCTAAGCTTCCACAAAGAGTACATTGATTAGGTTCCCGCTCCAAGTCATTACACGTAGCAGTTAGATAACCATTTTTCAGAATGTTTCGCTTTATGTATCATTTTCGTCCCTGATATATAATTTCCTTCCCCCACAGGGAAACAATAAACATTTTTAAGTCCAATCAATAGGGTCCACTTTACTCCTGCCTACTGATCAAGGTGTAGTTGACTTTGGCCAATTTTCAAAATCAAATGTCACGTTGTCGCCGATGAGCATAAATGAAGCCCACTGAGATACTTTGTCAAAGCCGTTACTTCTCATCCACTTCCTAGCCTCGTGAAGAGATTCGCTGGCACTTTTACCGTGGAACAAATGATCGTAGAAGCAATTCATGAACTCTTCTGTTGCTTCATCCTCCAGTGCCCATCGTGCCGCCAACACCGAGCGAGCACCGGATCCTAGGAACGCTCGGGCGATCCCAATAACTCCCTCGGCTTTGACCTGTCCACGCGCACTGTGACAACAGCTGAGAACAACCAGTTTCGCTCGCACCTGAACTTCTGAAATGTCCTACATCGTCAAAAGGTAGTCTTTTTCTCGTGGAGGACAGTCAGTAGGGTCCTTAGGACAGAGAACAATCTCTCCTCTATCGGGACTACCATGGGCAGCAAAATGTATCAGGCTCGCTGAATTTATCGCTTGAAGTACAGCCTGTTTTGTTGCGCGGTCTCCAATCAAGGGCTTTACGCCAAGACGATTTCCAATCGTCTCTGCTTCCTTTCTTGCACGTGGCAATCGTTTTACTATTGTGCGTCTATCTTTGTAAAATACCTCTCTAACCTCAGGGTCACCGACTATCAGCGCACCACTCTTACTGTGGTACTCTGGAGGACTGTCCTGAATGAGCTTCAGAGTAGTCAT